GAAGCATTAAAAAAGCAATTTCTAAACTAGCCATATAACAATCTATTATAAAATCTTGCGAGGATTCTGACAAGACAGCTGTGGAGCTGTGTTGGGCCACACTTGCCTGATAAGAGAAATTTGCATTCTAAGATAAGGAAAACTGGAACTGTACCCCAAGATATTTATAAGTACATACCTGCTCTATTGGGGTCCTATTTGCCATTTATGTAACCTACTGTTGTGTCGTGCAAACACTAGTGCTTTAGTTTTTTGGTAATTTACTACAAGTTGTTCTTTTAGGCAAAAGGAAGCCAGTGTCCTTCTCACTCCCACCTGGGAGACTGTCAAAATTACTATGTCTGCTTATAGCAAGGCTGGAATTGCACAATCTGCTAACATTGGAAAGTGATGATTAGAAGATGAGAGACCCTGAATTATTGATGTACAAATTAAAAAGTAAGGGGGCTAAAATACAGCCTTGCCTTATCCTTCTTTTGGTAGAAACAGCTCCAGATAGGTGCCCCCAAGGGGAACATCTGACTCTCAATCAGGTGTTAGAATAAAGTGTCTAGATAAAAAGGAGCAATCTTTTATCCACTGAGGATCCCTGAGGTTTTTGCCATAGCCTCTCCCTTGGAATCAAATCAAAAGCTGATTTGAAATCCACAAAGTCTGCAAAAAGGATGCCTTTGGGCAGTGAGGTGTATTTTTCAGCTAAATGGTGCAAGACAAGGCAGTGGTCAAAGGTTGAACGGTCCCCTCTAAATCCCACCTGTTCATCAACAAGAATATTTTCACTTTGGACCAATCCAACAGTTTTAAATAAAGATATTTGCATGTAATTTGCTTATTATATTAAGCATGCTAATTGGTCTGTAGTTGGCAGAGTTAAGTCTATTTCCTATATTCTTGCAGAGAAGGATAACTATGGCCCCATTCCACTCAGATAGAAAATGTGCTGTGCTGTTAATATAAGTAAAAAGAGCAGCCAGCACTGGGGCCCACCAATCTTTTTCTTTTAGCAACTCTGGAAGGATAAAATCACCTCCAGGAGTTTTCCCAGATTTCAATTGTACAATGAGATCCTTACTCTTGGCTATAGATATAGGAGGCCATTCAGGAGAGGTCACCACCGGGTGGGGAACCACCACTGGATTAATTAATAATTCTGGATTAAAAATGTTCTGAAAGTAACTTTCTGAAATATCTGCAAGCATTTGGCAGGTGGGACCTAAGTAGCTACCTATAGGAGAGCAGTTAATTAGGCACCAGAACCAAGCAGGGTTCTTAAGCTTAGCTGCTGCAACTAGTCACCCCAGTCCTCTCTCAGCGCTTGTTTTCTTCTTAGATTTTACAAGTGCTCTATAAAACTTCTTATGCTGTCTGAGTGATTGAAAGGAACCTTATGAGTTGTCAGATTGAAAAGTATATACTGCAGTAAGAAGAGCCTTTTTTGCTTTATAACAATATGTATCCAACCAAGGTTTGGATCTCATATGAAGGAGGCTACAACTTATTGATGAAAGTCTAGATAGTAGGGCCTGGAGAGTATGGATAATAGGCTGGTAATGTGATAATACCTGTTCAGAGGAATCTGCTAAACAAATTTGGGAGCAGAGTTGAAGGAGGGGTTCTGAATTTAACAGAGCAGATGAGCTTTTTGCCACTCTGGAAGGCCATTTATTCCAAATGAGTTTTTTTGTCATGGCCTTGGGACAGTGAGCAACAGCTAGGAACTTAATAGTTACTTTAGGATTCAAACGGCAGATTAATGGGAAATGGTCACTACCCGAGTGATTTCCTACATAGAAATAGGTTATTAGATGAGCGTAAGTACGTGGAACCATAAAATAATCGACCACACTTGCGCCTTTGGAGCCCCAGAAGGTTAGTTCCCCATTTAGGTCTCCTCCAGCAGAACTATTTAGTATGATCAAGTCCAGACTATCTATAAGCTGGGCCAGTCGGAGTGTTTATTTTAGATTGTCAAGCCTGTAAAGGGCAGACTACTTCATTTGAGGGGAGAGACCAATTAAAATGAGCTTACAAAAAAGCATCTGACTCCCCAATACAAGCATTGAAATCACCAGCAATAATTACTAATGTGTCTGGGTACTGGCAAAGCATACTAGAGATATAGTTGTCACGATCCCAAATACTATTAACTTCATTATGTCTGTGTAATGAGGGAGGATATGTATTGATGAATAGCGTATTGTGTGGCTTAAGATGAAATAAAAGGGCTAGGACCATACTGGCATATGACTCCAATACAGTCACAGAGATGTTAAATTTTGTAGTGATTGTTATGTTCAAATCTCCTGAGGGTCTTCCATTTTTAACACTGGGTAGTGCCTTGAGTGTGTATGGAGTGTATTCAGAGAGGGATATATCATCCATGGCCTATGTTTCCTGGAGAAACAAAATATCAAAGGAACTAATGTAGTCCAGAAAAGAGGCATCCATGTTCTTCGCTTTCCAGCCAGCTGTGTTCGAAGAAAGAATGGAGATTGAGCATTATCATAGGAGAGTCAGTGCCTAATATTTCCATTAATTATCTGGTTAGTCCCATACTGTCTTCAATTACAGCAGATAAGGCTATTTCAAAAGATTGCTTTGCAGGAACAGAGACCTAGAAGAGACTTGAGCTCACAGATGGAACTGGCTCCGTGGTGCAGAATTTAATGCACTTTGTGATTGGGGTGTAGCCTTCAGTTGGGAGATTGAGTGTGTTTCTGTAAGAACATCAAAATTAGAAGGATAGGGCACATTGTGAGAAAGCTCAACAAGATTTATGGCTGAGCTCCCATAGAATGGCTTGCTAGGATCTGAGAGGCTGTCTTCAGCATCATTGCAAAGGACTCAATCCTCTGATCATCTGGAAAAGCTTGGTGTATTCCAGCCAACTCCTCATCACCCATGGAAGACTGATAATGCAAAGTTTTAAGTGACACAAGTGGTTCAGCAGTGGCAATAGTAGCTAACAGAGTTCTCTTAAGGCTTTGTAAAATATCATTGTCAGGATCTACGCAAGCTAGAAACCATAGTTTTATTTAATTTAGACTAGCAATGCATACTAAACAGTTAAATGGTTAAAGTGTTAATTGGAGGCCCGCTTGCTTGTTCCTGCCATTGAAGTTAGGAGAACGGGAGAGAAAGATGCCAAGCCAGGTGCTGCTGTTATCTCTACAGAGGTGCGAGGTGCCAACAAGGTCAAGCAACCATGAGACCAGGAGAAAAGTGCAAGGAATTTCAAGCAGGAAAAGAAAGAAGGGGGGGAAAGGGGGCTTAAAAGGGAAGGTTTTGCTTTGCAATGCTTAGACTCAACAAA